GACGAGACGGAAGGACAGAGACCGATAGAGAGGGAGATAGAGAGAGGGGGAGATGAGAAGAGAAGAGAGGGGGGAGAGGGGGGGGGGGTAGGAGATGGGGGGGGTTTTATCTATAGATGGTTTGGGGGATAGGGGAGAGAGTTTTTTCTGGGCGTTTTTAGATAGCTTCTGGGGAGGGTGGGGCGCGTTTGCGGGGGGTGGGTCTGGTGTCAGCGATGGGCGAGCTATACGAAAGATAGCGAAGCAGAGAGTGGGTTTTCCAATCTAAATTGGACAGAGAAAGGGTGTAAATGGAATGACGTTTCAACCCAACCAGCTCATCCTTAGGCAAGTCTGCTTCGTCCTCGTGTCTGGCACATAGGCATAGTTCACTATAAAACACTCATTTTCAGTTTAAGGTCACTGTAAAGTACAGACAACGTATAAAAGACAGACAATTCAATACAGGAAAAAAGCAGAGACATAAAAACGAATTCGACCAACCAGCATATGCGTAACAGTAACAGCCCACACAGGAGGGGAAAGTTTGGAAGTGAAAACTTTTCAATATACCGCCCCCCTCGGATTGGTCAATGCATTACAGGTAATGGAGCAGGCGATTTGCTGCCTCGTGCTCTGGTGGAAACTCTTGGTACAATTGATGCCGTATCCCTTTGTTGTGGTTAGGAGAGGTTGGGAAAAAAATAAGATGCAATTTACAGACTGTCAAGACTAGAGTGATCTGTCTTCAAGCAGAGAGAAATTACAGCTGCACGAGGCCTATAATCAGAGACAAAGTGGCTCTTTGAGGATCAGTGCAGCGTCGAGTGGCGTGGTGTGGGGCAGAGCGCTCAAATTACATGTACTAGCTTTATTAACAAAGTGCTCTGATTGTACCACCTGAATCAGCCCTGTCTTTAACGAGGTTCTAATTGGCCTCCCACCCACTCTCCCCTCCACTGTCTCTCTCCGGCTCAGAGGGACTCCCACTACCTGGCCCAATTTGACTTAGGGAGAAAAACTACAACGTCTAGGATGGTGGCTTTCTGTTATAAGTTGGGCGAATAGTTTAAAATACTGAAGAGTGTGCTGGGGAACTGGAAGAGTGGAACCTTACTACCTTTTCCTCACTCCAAAGCACACATCTGACTGAGTTAAAAGGGGCTACATGGCTACATGTCTAACTTGATTGAGTTAAAAGGGGCTACATGGCTACATGTCTAACCTGACTGAGTTAAATGGCGCTACATGGCTACATGTCTAACCTGACTGAGTTAAATGGCGCTACATGGCTACATGTCTAACCTGACTGAGTTAAAAGGGGCTACATGGCTACATATCTAACCTGATTGAGTTAAAAGGGGCTACATGGCTACATGTCTAACCTGACTGAGTTAAAAGGCGCTACATGGCTACATGTCTAACCTGACTGAGTTAAATGGCGCTACATGGCTACATGTCTAACCTGACTGAGTTAAAAGGCGCTACATGGCTACATGTCTAACCTGACTGAGTTAAAAGGCGCTACATGGCTACATGTCTAACCTGATTGAGTTAAAATGGCGCTAACATGGCTACAGTGTCTCAACCCTGACCGGAGTTAAAAGGGGCGTACATGGCTACATGTCTAACCTGATTGAGTTAAAAGGCGCTACTGGCACATGTCTACCTGGTGAGTTAAAGGGGCTACATGGCTACATGTCTAACCTGACTGAGTTAAAAGGGGCTACATGGCTACATCACTTATCAGACCTAGAGACGACTTCATTAAATTACATTTAAAAGGTATATTGTTGTGCACCCTTGCTTATTGACAAAGTGACTACTTTACATGCCATCAGTTGCTTGCAACCAACCAACCCACCCACCAACCAACCCCCAACCAACAAACCAACCAGCCAACCCACCAACAAAACCACCACCAACCAAACAAACACGCCCAACCAACCCCCAACCAACCCACCAACCAACCCACCAACCAACTCCCAAACCAACCAACCAGCTAACCAACCCACCGAAACACCCACCCACCAACTAACCAAACACAACCTAACATGTTACACAATTCCCATTCATAACAACTCCAAAGTATTATCCTTGTGTTCACATTTACACACAAATTAGCGCAGGTCTAACCACATTGTACTACAGTGACTTCAGACACAGGCCTAAGCCTGTGCTAGCAGCGGTGACCTGAGTGGCAAGTGTCTTCACTGACATTTTCAACCTCTTCCTGACGCTGTCTGTAATACCTACATGTTTCAAGCACCTGACCCTGTCTGTAATACCTAGGAACGCCAAGGTAACCTGTCTAAATGACCATCGCCCCGTTTAACTCACATCTGTAGCCATGAAATGCTTTGAAAAGCTGATCATGACTCACATCAACACCATCCTCCCAGACACCCTGGACCCACTCCAATTCGCATACCACCCCAACGGATCCACAGATGTGGAGTTCAATCTCTATTGAACTCCACAATGCCCTCTCCCATCTGGATAAGAGGAAAACCTATGTGAGAATGTTGTTCATTGACTACAGCTCAGTGTTCAACACCATAGTGCCCTCCAAGCTCATCACTAAGCTCAGGACCGTGGGACCGAACACCTCCCTCTGCAAATTAATCCAGGACTTCCTGACGGGCCGCCATCCAGGTGGTGAGGGTAGGCAACAACACATCTGCCACGCTGACCCTCAACACAGGGGCCCCTCAGGGGTGCGTGCTTAGTCCCCTCCTGTACTTCCTGTTTACCCACGACTGCGTGGCCACGCACGACTGCAACACCATCATTAGGTTTACTGACGACACAACAGTGGTAGGCCTGATCACCGATGTCAGCAAGACAAAGGAGCTGATGGTGGACTACAGGAAAAGGAGGACCGAGCACGCCCCCATCCACTTCGACAGGGCTGTGGAGCGGGTCGAGAGCTTTAAGTTCCTCAGTGTCCACATCACTTAGGAATTTACATGGTCCACACACACCAACACAGTCATGAAGAAGGCACGGCCACGCCTTCTTCCACCTCAGGAGGCTGAAAAGATTTAGCATGGGCACTCAGATCCTCAAAATGTTTTACAGATGCACCATTGAGAGCATCTTGACTGGCTGCAACCCCGCTTGGTATGGCAACTGCTTGGCATCCAACCACAAGGCGCTACAGAGGGTAGTGCGTACGGCACAGTACATTACTGGAGCTGAGCTCTCTGCCATCCAGGACCTCTATACCAGGCGGTGTCAGAGGAAGGCCCTAAAAATGGTCAAAGATTCCAGCCACACAAGTCATAAACTGTTCGCTCTGCTACTGCACGTCAAGCGGTACCGATGCACCAAGTCTGGAACCAACAGGACCCTGAACAGCTTCTACCCCCAAGCCATAAGACTACTAAATAGTTAACCAAATAGCTACCCGGACTATCTGCATTGACCCCCCTTTGCACTCTCTTTTGACTCATCACATACGCTGCTACTACTGTTTATTATCTATCCTGTTGACTAGTCACTTTACCCCTACCTATATGTACATATCTACCTGAATTACCTCGTTCCCCTGCACATGGACTAGGTACTGGTACCCCTGTGTATATAGCTAAGTTATCGCTACTCATTGTGGATTTATTCCTCCTGTTATTATCTTTCAATTATTTTTTTCTCTGTATTGTTGGGAAGGGCCGTAAGTAAGCATTTCACTGTTAGTCTACACCTGTTGTTTACCAAGCAGACCCCTTTCCACATGCTGCCCTGTCAGGCTGAGGAGGCCATGTTTTTGCCCTAGTACTACACACCTGATTCCACTAATCAACTCATCATCAAACCTTTGAATCAGGTGTGTAGTGCTAGGGAAATACTGCACTAGATGTTCAACTGTATTAGAAGCTGAGACTGTCAGGTACCCTGTCCACCTGCCTAAGAGTCAGACAGACACATCCTATAGGCCTAACCCTCCCAGCGATAGGCCTGAAGCTATCCTGGTGGTGGATAAAACTGTTATGAGCCATATTGCCTGATAGAACACAGATATCAATTGAAACGTTCTCTAAACATCTCACGACATACTAGGCCTACAACATGCTTTACAGTTCTCTGGATTAGAAATGTCAAACAAACCCAGTTCATGACATACTGTAGTAGACAGGTAGGCTAGGTTTTGGCCTAACCGGCACAAATTCAGAGGGAGACATTGCCCTCTTGTGACTAATCTTGAATATTGCATACATATTTATTCAGGCCTATATTACTCTGCAGTCTTATGGCCAGTATGCAATCATATAGCATACTGGTCATAAGACTGGCCCAACCAGGAGGGATATACACTGAGTATACCAAACATTACGAACACCTTCCTAATATTGAGTTTGCCCTCAGAACAGCCTCAATTTGTCAGGGCATGGACAAGGTGTCGGGGCAAGGTGTCAAAAGTGTTCCACAGGGATGCTGGCCCATATTGACTACAATGCTTCCCACAGTTGTGTCACGTTGGCTGGATGTCCGTTGGGTGGTGGATCATTCTTTGGGTGTTGGACCAAACTCAGCAGCGTTGCAGTTCTTGACACAAACCGGTGCGACTGGCACTTACTACCATACCCTGTTCAAAGGCTCTCAAATGTTTTGTCTTGCCCATTCACCCTCTGAATGGCACACATTACACAATCCATCTCTTAATTGTCTCAATGCTTAAAAATCCTTCTTTAACCAGTCTCCTCCCCTTCATCTACACTGATTGAAGTGGATTTAACAAGTGACATCAATAAAGGATCATAGCTTTCACCTGGATTCACCTGGTCAACCTACGCCATGGAAAGAGAAGGTGTTCCTAATGTTTTGTACACTCAGTGTATAGCCAAGACAGAGTGTACATACCAGAACTCTTTCATTGGTCAGGGCTAGAGAAAAATGAACAAAAAGGAGGGACTGCAATAAGCAAAGCAACACAGAGTGAGAGATCTGGGGCAGGGGGGGGGGGTGCTCATGGCCCAGTTCACAGTTAAACGATACCGTCCTGGTATGTGCAGCAAAGGCATTGCAAGCCTGGTGACACGAGTTCTCACAGTGTCTCTTTCTTTCATCGCACTAAACCCTGTCTCTCCCAGGACCATGAAGAAATGCACGGTTCACCCTGATGTGATTGAGTAATGTATCCCTTTTTTCCCCCACCTGTCTCCCTGGACCTCAGTGCTCCCAGGTAGGTAAGCCCAGCACCGGCAGCGTGAACAGGTGTGACATTCTGCTATGCTAGGGAACATGACAATGCAAGGCATGGCAATGGTCGTGTTCCTCCACTCAGAAGTAGCTGAGGTATTTTATGTATCAGCTAACCACATCAAATGCATTTTGGTACCCAACTGCATAGTCGATGACATGGCACGCAACCATTGGTTTATGCATGCAGCGTCTGAGCAGGGGATCGCGACTAATAATAGCACCTGTACACTTGCACCTTACTGCACAACACCTGCAACATATTAGGCACTAATAGCAGTATTGAATGCTTGCACACAAAATCAATTCACTGCTTTGCAATGCCCGTTTTTCAATAGGCCTATGTAATGTAACGCCTAGCAAAAGAATGCTGAACATCATCACAGACACATTCAAACAGTTTTCCATTTTATTTTACCCATAGGTCTACTTGTGAAAAGGTCAGCAAAGGACTGCACACTACAGTGCATGGCTAATCAAAGAGGGTTCATTTATTAATAGGCCTCTCAGGGAGAGCTAGACTGAGGGGAGGGGGGCTGCATTGAAGACAGCAACAGGTGCTGCATCAATGTGGTGTAAAACGGTCTCTGCCAGACAGAACCTTGTAGCCTGGTTGCCAGTCTGTTTAGCTAACATTCTACTCCTTGTACTCCCAAGTAATTTGAATATGAAGTACAAGGAGTTTAACATTAGCTACAAAAAAAAAATGGCGACCAGGCAAGACAGAACCCGGTTCCAACCATATGACAGACAAGGGCGATAGGGTAAATGTGCCTAAATGTTTTGGTATGTTTGCTAGTTTTGTTTATAGAATATTTGTGCCAACATTTAAATAATACAATAATTACCATGTTCATTAATTCACATGTATTGTAAATTCATGTAGGAATTAACTGAAATTGTTCAATAAAAACGGTTTTCATACATGGGGTTTTTCTCCCGCCATCAACGTTGTCATTAGGGACTGGGAAAGTGCCATCTTGACAAGTTGAGGGCGGCAGAGGCTCGAAGAGCGGGAAATAAAACCGAATTAAACTAGCTAGCTAACCTGCAACTGCTCTACAGTTTCCTACCTTTGGCACATTGAAACAAACTAACAATAATCTATAGATACATGTTTCTCTGGTTAAATACAACTGTAACAATATAAATGTAACCAATACTTGCCCACCTATGAATATGAGTGGTTTAGGATCGACTAGCTCAATTTGATAAACGCCAGATATTTTTACTTCGTTCATACTGCAGCTAGAGCGGGACTAGTGTTGATGATTCTGATACAGGGTCGGCTGTTCCTGGCTGTGTTCACATCTCTTGCAAGTTGTTTTAACTTTAGTTGCCATTGTCTTGCTGATTTACATTGGATATAACCCTCAATCAATTATTTGTTTCCACTTTACTTGTTCAAGATATCTAATCAAGCACGGTGTCTACGATGGAGAACGAAATAGCTGTAAGTTACCTTTCACGAGCGTACTACTTGCCATCTTGCTAGCTGCCAGTATGCTAGCTAGCTAACATTAATATGTTGTAAAAAACCATCGGCTAGCTAGCTAAGTGGCTAAACAGATCAGTGTTGCGTTTGATTGTGTCGGTATATTTAATTGTGATACATGTAACAATGTGGGTTGCCAATACTACAATTATATAAATTAACGTTATATAGCCAGCGAGTTAAAATGTCACTCTTGAACGCTAACGATAACTGTCTAGCTATCACTAACGTTAGCTTCCCTGCATGCAGTGCATAAAGTTAGCAGGGTCTTTAGTTTAGCTAATTTATCTAGCTAGCAAGCTATGTTAACTAGCGACGTTATTTATGTTCAGTTATATGTCGCTTGATATAGCTAATGTATTCTAAACCAGAGTAAGTTATATTGTAACTCGTTTTTGGTGAATGGAGATTGATCTAGCATGTTTCTCTCCTGATCGAAAATGTGTTGGCTTGCTCTTGTTAGCTACAGTAGCTAGCTAACTAGCTAATGTAGTAGCTAAGTTCTCTCTCCTAAACCTTAGCCTAGCAATGTACAGTTTCTCATGCATTTCTGTGAGTCCATATTATAGGCTTTAAAAAGCAAAAGGTCACTCAGGGTTGGCTAGTTATTCCCAGCCCTAGACAAAACAAAAGTGCATCTACAAAGACAACCTCTTTTCAAGGTGCAGGTGTTCCCAAGAATACAGTTGTATAGACAGCTTGTTTTGAAAGATCAAAGGCTTACAACATACCTTTTGTCTTAAAGATATCAAACAATATTGCTTTGTAAAACAGCTAACTTTTTGCTACATTATCAGAATTTCTCAGCATTGGTGAGGATGGACCAATCCAGTGATGCTCTTGTTCTGTTTCAAGCTAATCTCAATCTGCACCCAGACCAGCACTCCCTCTCCTCCTCCTGCTCCAGTGTCTCAAGACCCCAACAACAATACCACTCCCTCTCACCATGCCCCCCGCTTTGGCACCATCATCCCTAACCGCATCTTTGTGGGAGGAATTGATTTCAAGGTGAATATCGACTCTTTCTTTACTTTCATAGGGTCTCCTGTTTTTGTGTTGCGACCTAACTTGACATTTTTTGGTGCTGCTGCATGTTACTGGAGCATAAAAAGGGCAGCTTAATTCAAGTGTGTGTGTTCTTTTTGTGCGTAGACCAATGAGAACGACCTGAGACGCTTCTTCTCCCAGCATGGAGCGGTGAAGGAGGTGAAGATTGTGATTGACCGTACTGGGGTGTCAAAAGGGTGAGTTCAGTTAAACTGTAAATGTTCTGCCCACATAGACTGGATGACACCTGCAATGATGTTTATTAAATAAACTACAGCAATGGAAATGTAATCCAGGGACACTGTATCATTGCCTTGTGTATGTGTCCATCCCACAGATATGGCTTTGTTACCTTTGAGACCCAGGAGGATACCGAGAGAATCCTTCATGATGTAAGTAACTAAAGGTACACTCTTTGACAAAAGGGTTCCAAAAGGGTTCTTCGGCTGTCCCCATAGAAGAACCCTTTTTGGTTCCAGGTAGAACCATTGTGGGTTACATGTAGAACCCTCTGTGCAAAGGGTTCTACATGGAATCCAAAATGTTTCTACTTGGAACCAACAAGGGTTATTCAACAGGTTCCCATATGAGGACAGCCGAAGAACCCTTTTAGGTTCTAGATGGCACCTTTTCTTTCTAAGAGTGTAGAGCCAATATACTGTACAGAAATGGGAAAGAAGCGATACGATACGAACCTTATATCTCCTACTGGAGGGCAGCAGCTCTAATTCACATTAGATCTAGCTCAGTCCATCGTCAGTAAAGTCATGGTCATGGGTAGTAAATGCTCAGTGTAAAGTGATCTGTCTCAATCTGTACTGGATACCCCCTCTCCCTCTGCAACCACCACATCCCCAGGCTGACAGACTGTGCTTCCGGGACAAGAGGCTCAACATCGGCCAGGCCGTCCGCAAGCAACAAGTGGGAGGGCACTGTAAGTGACAGAGCACCGTAGAGCAGAGGTAGGCGACCCTGGTCCTGAAGTGCCTGCGTGTTTTTGATTTAACCGACCTCGAAGACCAGGTGTGTTGAATTTAGGCAGTCACTGAACTGATCAATTAGCTCAGTCGGTCAGGTGTGGTGCCTAGTTGGAACAGAATCCTGCAGTACCTACGGCACTCCAGGAACAGGGTTGTCTTCCCATGCTGTGGAAATTACATTTGCAACAAATGTATAATGCATCGTAGAAAATGTTAACACTCATACCATATATTGTCTTATCTTGATCGTGGGGGGCTAATGTGCTCTTGCACTTGTTGGCTTTAAAATGCTGACTCGTCACCTGGGATTGAGTGTCGATAACATTTGCCTTTGTACATAACCTGGTGGTTGACTTGTGCCTCCTTCACTCAGCAAACAGCTTCTCTGTGTCCAGCCATACTCCTGCCATGATGCCCACCCCCTGTGGAACCATGTACCTCACCACCTCTACGGGGTACCCCTACACCTACCACAACGGAGTGGCTTACTTCCACACCCCAGAGATGAGCCCCTCCGCCCCCTACCACTGGCCTGTGAGTCCTATCCTTCACTCAGCCACGTGCTCATGACACTATTTCCCTCGTGGTGAATGAAATTGTGCATTCTGATCATGAATCATGAGCAACATATGAGAATCATAGAGAGACTGTTGACATTGTTTCATCCATGAAACAGACATGACATACTACAGGGTTTTAGTCATTTTAGTCATTTCTTTAGCGTTTTAGTCAGTATGAAAATAAAAAAAATGTATGCAGTCACTAACTGTAAGTCGCTCTGGATAAGAGCGTCTGCTAAAATGACTAAAATGTAAAAATTGTATATAATGGATTGCATTTGATAAAATGTATTATACATTCGGCATAAAGATACATGTTCTTTCTTACATGGCTGGTGTCCCCATATTACATGTGCGTCTCTAATCTCCGATCTGTGTCCTTGTAGTCCCACTCAGTACCTGGCTCTCCAGTCATGCTGACCCACCAGCCTCCACCCATCTACCAGCAGCCAGCCTACCATCACTACCAGGTCAGACAGTCTGTTTGTGCTCTATAGGCAATGATGTCCATGATCATAGGAGTTGGCAAGACAGCACAAACAGATCTGGGACCAGGCTAACCTTAGTCACCAGTACAGCGTCATAAGAAAAATCCATTGTAAATAGTGGTACCTCAGCCACTGACAACCAAGTCAGCTGTGCAGATTTAATGGAATGCTATTGAGGTGTTATTCCAGGAGAAAGCTGGTGTACTCCTGGGTACTGATCTGTTTCCTATACTGTGTCCTTCAGGCCCCTACACAGTGTCACCCTAGTCACCTGCAATGGAACGTTCCTCAGGTAAGGGAAGGAGATGGGCGTCTTTGCTCTTCACCTCTACGTTTGTGAGTGGGTTTTTGTCGGAGGCAAGGTCCGTTCTAAAAGCGAACTAATGTGTGTGCATGCGAAATTCTGTGTGTGTGTGTGTGTGTGTCAGTCTCCAGTGCCCTCCAGCCCAGTGTTGTACATGCAGCCCTCTGAGCTCCTGTACCAGCCCATGGAGCAGCCCAGCGACGGGGGCTGTGTCCAGTCTGCCATGCCCCTCATAGAGGCCCCCATCCCAGAGGTAGATAACATCTTCACCTGGGTCCTGTTCAATACGCTCAAAACAGAGGAAAAACTTACTTGGTGCAATAAGAAAGGCATGTTTTTATTGACTGTTTCAAAATGTTTTGCTACAGTGTGCCCTACTGAACACAACCATTTTGTAGTTCCCTCAGTCAGTGTACTATTTCCCATATGCTACTTCATAGCGTTAGCATTAGGTGACAGTTGATGTATAAATCCATACTCAGTTATTGCTTGTTTTACCACAGCAGCAGTTCATCGACCACATGGTGCAACCAGCCTACAATCACACGATATCATACTACCCACAAAGTCCAGGGGGGATGACACCCGTGATGATACAGCAAGAACCAGGAAAGGTACCAGTTATTATACCAGTATAAACTTATTATGACATTATATGTTAATGCATGCTAGATACTCATCTTTATTGGTCTGTTGTGATGAATGACTGTTGGAGAAGGGTTGTCATGTGTTGTGTCTGTTACGTTACCCATCTAGGAACATAAGTTCCACGTCATGAGGCGAGGTTACCCCTCCTCGCCCGTCAGCCTGAAGCCCAGGTACGGCCGCAACCCGCACTACGCCCAACTGCGCAAGGAGTACCGCCCCGAAATCACCAGCGACCACTCCCCTCCGCCCACCACCGAACCAGTCAAGTAGAGGTCATCCACGTTTCCTTTCAAGCCAATGAAACTCCCATCTCCTCAGGCAGAAAGACCCGCTTCTCACTCTCTCCACCCGCTTCTCAATCTCTCCATGAACCTGTCTCCTCCAACACTTCACACAACCCATCACCCGCATTATATTATTCAGTCCAGACAACTATGTGCTCGCTGAATGTGAATTTTTATCTGTGTAGTATAATTTAATGTGATATTCTCAATATTCTATTATCTTAGCTTCTAAAAAGTACTGTAAGTGCTATGATGTAAAAGCTCGTTCCATCACTCCCAGACTGTGAACATTGTGCATTGTTCTCTCTGGTGTTTTTTTCCACAACTCAGGGAGGGATAACTAGCTCCTAGTACTGTTTAACTGTTTCATAACTAACCTAATGCATAATTGATCTTAAAGCTAAGATAAACGATCTTTCGTAAAACAAGAATGTTCTTGCTTTGGCATCTGTGTCAAACTTTTGTCATGTAACCATTCAGAGTATAGACGCAACAGGAAACGTATTTCCTTGCCAGGAATGTTGGTGGCACCTTAATTGGGGAGAAGGGGCTCGTTCTAATGACTGGAGCGGAATGGGTGGAATGGTAACAAATACATCAAACACCTGGTTTCCATTTGCTCCGTTCCCGGACATTATTATGAACCGTCCTCCCCTCAGCAGCCTCCTGTGATTTCCTGGTACTGCTTTATATAGGCCAATCGGCCAATCACAACTTTTCTTTTTCAAATTAGCTCTTAACACAAAGCAAAAAAAAGGTCTGTAACAAAGATTCCTGCCAATATTACTTTGAGATAAAAGCTGCCATTGAGCATGTTTTTATCTCAATGGTATTAGAATATTCAAGATTACTGTCTTTATAAAGTCAGACGATTGATTGAAAAATAATTCAGCTGGTTGTCACAGAAGAGGGCAAATAGATCCCTAGAGGGTCAATCGTTACATAATTCTCCAACTGGATGAAAACAAACAAACAGGACATTATTTTATACATTTTGCATTTTTATGTATCCTCATGTTTTCATATAGATTTAGCTGTGTTTGTGAGTCTAAAAACGATGTGCCCTCCCAAGTGAGGGGTAACATCAAAAGAACTCTGTCCACAGGACTGGGACCACAAATAAAGGACAATGAACATCAGTCAAACATATTCACATGGTTTCACATCGGCTTTGTGTGATGGCTGGGACATTTCAAGATTGGAAGATCAACAAAGTAATCTATTTTTTTGCCGTTCTTTCCCGCCTGTAAATTATTGGCCTCATCTTCATCAACTTCAATCTCCCTCGGTTCAGTCATGAGTCACACATGGTCCACTCAGTTATACACGGTTTGGTTTCTCTGTTCTTTCTCGGTCTGCTCCGTCATTGGTTATGTATGTATTCTGTAAACATTTTTTAAAAATATAAATGGTATTATATAACTGATAAGCTATGGGTGTCAGAGTTGAGGTTTTACATATTTCATTCATATATTTAATGTAGGCCTATTTTTGGATTTATTTTAATAGCTGGATTGCATGTACTATGAGGTGTATGATTTTGTATTGTGTGAAATGCTATTCGCTTTAATTTCATGGTCTTCCCTGTAAAAATAAATAATAATCGGTAGAAACAGCTAGAATTTGCCACAACGGTTCACAATTGAAAAGTTATGCCGTTTTGCTCTAATTTTTGATCATAGTGAAAGTCAATGCCAGAAGAAAACAAATGACAGAATTTCATAAACAAGTGCTCCCATGTTCTGTTAATTTGACATTAAAATAACCTTTTAGGTAAATTTGATTTGTCAGTTACTAATAAAACGGAATCAAAGTTTGATTTGAAATTAGATCATTTTAGGATAAGTATTTTGTTGTATTCCAAGCATGCCTGTAATTTCTCAAAATGTTCAATTTTAATAAACATGTTTTACTCTTTACATATTTTCATAGCACCACATTGTCAATTCAATGTGTCTTGCCTTTTAAAAACATACATATATGTTTTACTATTTTATTACAATGTTACATGTTAGATGAGTTCAGTTTGGGGATATTGCACTCCCCATGTCTTCTCTACCTCCTGTAATCCCATTGCTCAATTTGAGAAGCAGATTAACTGCTTTGATCCAAAGTACAGAGCTAAAAAAAAATGACACATTGTTTTGGAGTTAAGACATGTTCCCTTCGCCTACCCTTTTTGTATGGCATTTTTATGATTAAGATTTTGATTACGATTTTGTTTTAACATCAGTGCATGTTGTCAGTTGAATGTGTTGTGTATAGTTCTGAACACTAGCTTATATTTTGATGTTTACGTTGACGTTCTTCTGCACATTACATCGTGCCTTGTTCTTCCGAATATTGGGGGGAAATGTTTAAGAATTTATGTTCAGAAGTGGGGTTGTCTTGTTCATAAGAATAAAGTTTGAACCCTTGAGAAGGATACGTCCGTGTGTCATTGAGCCCAGGGAAACAACCCTTTATTAATAAACCCTAACTAATGAAATGGAAGCCTGTTCGAAAACATTGCACTACTGTGAAAATGTGAAGACTACAGGTCACAAAAGTACAATAGGTATACACATGGCACTTCATTGTAAATATATCTGCTATTTTAATAAGAAAATGTGAATGGATATCCACTAGGGACAAAATGACAACACAGTCAACACATAGTTTTTGTGTTGCCTGAGTAATAGTTATTCATGAGACAAGAATATAGAAAGGGAATGAGACATACTTGTGCTTTGAGAACCTAAGGCAGTTCTGAGTAGCTGTCATTAAGTAATTTTCACAAATAATGAAAACTTCAAATTCCTTTCTTTTAAATAAATACTGTGAAAATAGTCTGTTGCCCTAAATGGCTTGAACATAAAACACCCCTAGTCCCATTCTATAGAAACAATAAGTTATTAGGAAAGCAGTCCTTATGTAATGTCGAAGATGCAGGGACTCTGGCCTAGTAAACAGGCTATCCTGCGGCAATGTTGCCGTTTTTGGCTCCAGGTTCAAGTTTCCCCTAGGTGCAGATCTAGGATCAGCTTCCCCCTCCCCTAATCCTAACCTCAACCATTAATGGGGTAAAAGCAACTAGGGGCAACTTCACCCTACAACCCGTTTTTGTTATAGTCTTCAATTAATCATGTCCTTCCACTTCCTTAATCTAGGATGGAAGACTGACGTTGTTCTATTTATAGTATAGTCACATATTGGACTATGAAATACCTGTTATATCAACCTGTATAATGTAGGCTGTTTATTAAATACCTGTTATATTAACTTGTCAAATGTAAGTTGTAGCTCTACATTAGACCAGAGTTCCTGACACCTAGAACACAACAAAGGCTGCGTTTACACAGACAGCCCAATTATGAACTTTTGCCACCAATTGGTCTTTTGACCAACCAGAGATATTATTTAGCCCATAATTGGGCAAAAGATAAGAATTTGGTTGCCTGTGTAAACGCCGTCGAAGGACCAAACAGAAAGCACATGATAAGGTAACTAGCCAAGGGTGTCACACACACTGGCCAGTTTATTAGGTACACCACCCTGTTCACGAAAATGATTAGCTCCTACAGACAGTGAGTCACGTGGCCGTGGCTTGCGATATAAAGCAGGCAGACAGGCATCGAGGCATTCAGTAACTGTTTGATTGAATGCTAGAATGTGTAAAAGTGACTGAGCGTGGTATGAGTCGGTGCAAGTCGCTCCGGATCCAAAATCTCCAGAAACGGCCGGCCTCCGGGGCTTTTCATGCACAACAGTGTCTAGAGTTTACCGCGAATGGTGCCACAAACAAAAAAACATCCAGTCAGCGGCAGTACTGTGGGTGAAAACTGCTCGTTGATGAGAGGTCGAAGGAGAATGGCAAGAATCGTGCAAGCTAACAGGCGTGACACAAACAGGCAAATAACGGCGCAGTACAACAGTGGCGTGCAGAACAGCATCTCGGAACGCACAACTCATCGACCCTTGTTACGGATGGGCTATTGCAGCAGGCCACCACACTGGGTTCCACTAAAACCAAGCAGAAGCACTAGCGGGAACGCGATCACCAACACTGGACAATTGAGGAGTGGAAAAACCTTGCCTGGTCTGACGAATCCCGGTTCTCGGTTCATGCTGATCGGCAGAGTGCATTGACCCAACCTGCCTGTTGTCAACGGTACAGGCTGGTGGCGGTGGTGTACTGGTGTGGGGAACATTTTCCTGGCACACGTTAGGTCCCTTGATACCAATTTAGCAACGATCGAACGCCACAGTGTATCTGAACATTGTATGCACTCACTAACTGTAAGTCGCTCTGGATAAGAGCGTCTGCTAAATGACTAAAATGTAAATGTAAATGTTGCTGACCAAAGCCAATAGAGAGAGAATCTTTGGGATGAGATGGACCGGGCTGTTCGCAGCATGAATGTACCACCGTCCAATCTGCAGCTACTGCGTGATTCCATCGCCTCAGCATGGACCAACATCCATGTGGAATGTTTCCGACACCTTGTAGAATCCATGCCCCGAAGAATTCAGGCTGTTCTGGAGGCAAAGCGGGGTCCGACCCGGTACTAGATGGGTGCACCCAATTAACTGGCCACAGTGTATTTTGGTTAGTCATTTAACCACAACACTGTCTTACATACAAGCTAAATTAGGATGTTAATACAATATAAAACATGTTCTACTTAAAAACTGGTGATTTTAGTGTGCTTTTGGGAGTATTGTGTGGTTGTGGGTGTGTGTGTGTGTGTGTGTGTGTGAGAGAGAAATAGTTTGGCAGGGTGTAGCAGATCCTCTTCAAATCCCAGTCCTCAGGCGTCGCTCTCGCCCTCTGCTTCATTAGGGTTAGTCTCATCCTCCATGATGGGTACAATCAGGTTGTCCTTGGACATCAGGTTGTACTTCATCACGAAGCGCGTGAACCGATGGCACAGGAATGTCTCGTTCTGGAGAGGGCAAGAGCATTCGCTTGAGTTTTTATAAAATCCTAAACAACCTTAACGTTTCTAAACCCAATGCTAGTTAAACTGTAATCACTGGTAGCTACAGTCCCATGTAGCTCAGTTGGTAGAGCATGGCGTTTGCAACGCCAGGGTTGTGCGTTCGTTTCCCACGGGGGACCAGTATGAAAAAAAAAAATGTATGCACTCACTAACTGTAAGTCGCTCTGGATAAGAGCGTCTGCTAAATGACTAAAATGTAAATGTAAAATGTAATCAATACACCAGAGTCAAGTATCATCACAATCACAGCTGAATCTATGTGAAACCTGTTGGGGTAACAGTTAGGATGGGATTCAATCTGATCACGCATTGTAGCACGCTTAACATGTAAAGGTAATTTCCCATTGAGCCGACATACGCAGCATTAACCGTGAATGCGATCTCCGCAACCGCTGGAACATTGGACAGCGCGGGATCAGATTGAATTCCAGCCTTAGGGCTATGTTAGGGTTAGTGCTTTAAGTACATGTGTAATTACAATACACTATTCACAGGAATAAAGACAGTCCTAGAAAATGGAATCTCACTGCTTACCTCATACTTGTCAAAGATCTGACGATGGTGGAAGTAAGCATGGGAGAAGATCCTGTAGATCCGCCGACAAACTGAACCCAGTTTCCCTACTGAGGATTCTTTAATGCTCACTCTACCATAGAACAGAGACCAAATCAGATTACAAGTCTATAGACTGAAACTTTATTACAACGCTTACAGCAAATGTAGGTAGGTGCATAAATCAGTCTGATGCGAATGAACATTTGGATGAAACGGTGTTCGATAACAAATTCTTCTGATTTCTGTGCGAAGGGTGCTGGGGGTTAATGAGAAAGTGAAATGTCACAGGACACATAGGAACATAGTAAACAGTTGTTACCTGCTAGGGAAGTACTTGTTACTGTTGAGGAGGCAGGCGGCTCCGTCCAGGGTGTGTCTGGTGTAGTCGATGGCTGGACACTGCAAACAGAACAACAGGCTTGAGTACCAGCCATGATACAATAATGAGTATAATGTTGTTATTAGTTCTGGCATGGTGAATGTGACTATCTCGTAGTCCTGTGTGGCTCAGTGGGTAGAGCATGGTGCTTGCAACGCCAAGGGTCGTGGGTTGGATTCCCACTGGGGCCACCCAAGTTACAAGTTTGTCTATTTGTCATATGTACAGGATACACTGGTATACACAGTCCAACAAAATGCTTACTTGAAAACGAAAAATGTATACATGACTAAGTCGCTTTGGATAAAAGTGTCTGCTAAATGGTATATATTATTATTATATTCTTATACCAGGGAAAGGGGTTAAGAACTGGATGAGGGATCCACCTCTACAAATGCTGTGGGCAGAGTGGACATTACCTCTTTGGGAGTCTTGTGTGCAGCACAGAGGAAGATCCACTGCTCTGTTGCCGTCATCTGGGTGCATGTGTCTGGGTGGCATTCTCCCTGTGGGAAGACAGAGTACATGTTAGTAACAGACTTCATAGAAGTTACCACTCCAACAAACACAGTGTGAGAAGAATGGATGTTGAACATGATCTTCCTGAAGAGCTATGTGGTCAATTGTAAGGGCATACCTGTAGTTTCACAGCAAGTCCATTCAGCTCCAAACAGAACTGCCTAAAACGGAGAACAAGAGACAGGACTAAATGTTAAAAGAAGGATTTGTTTTCAGCACCAGTACACATTTTGGATAGCCACATGACTTTCTTCTAAGTGGTAAACGTCAGCTACTACCTGAGGTGTTCGTACTTCCAGACACCTTCGTCCTGGCCCTCTGGGGGCTCCAGGATCTTGTCCATGTTGGAGCAGTCTGTGCGGATGTTCTGTTGGATGTACTGAGAAGAACCACAAACATAGACTTTAGATAGAAACAGTACTGTATTAAATACAAAACCCGACTAAGCCATTCTACCTCAGCAACTCAAATGGCAGAATAGCCATACATTTTTTTCTGATATATTAGCTATATGCAACTGCTCAATCCATACTGGAGAATCTTACAGAGAGCTGCCCATACAGATCAACACTAGCTAGTCGAATGCCTGATTGGACTTATCCAATGAACCACGGTGTCTCCTCATTCAAATGACTCAAACAGTAAGATATTTCAAACATTAAAATGGAGACATCTGACTCTCACCTGCTGCACAGCCAGTGTGCTGTCCATCTCCTCGAATGACTCATCGGGCCAGTTGTAGAAGTCCTGTGGGCACACACAAGAAACTCAGCAGGGCAAACTAACTGCACTGATTCTGCTGACAAAAAGACCTAGCTAGCTAGCTTCTCTCTGTCTGGTAAATGACTAGGTAGCTACTTGCCCAATATTGGACTAAAGAAGCCTAACTTTATTCCTTATAGTCCAAGGACCTTACATGTTCTGTTTAAAGGGCGAATTGGCTCTGGAAGCAAAAACCAAATACTCCATCTAAAAGTGAATCCATTCTCAATTGCGGTACGGTTCTAGAAACGTGAAACATAAATCCCTCTACTTTCATGTCACATCAAAATAATTTCACAAATGCAAAATACATGCTTACTGTACACCAGTGGCGGCTGGTGGGAGGAGCTATATGAGGATGGGCTCATTGTAATGGCTGGAATGGAATTTATGGAACAGAGTCAAATGTGGTTTCCATATGTTTGATGCCGTTCAATTCCAGCCATTACAATGAGCCCGTCCTCATATAGCTCCTCCCACCAGCCACCACTGCTTCAACCGGTTTTAACACAGTTGCAATGGACAGTATTTTTTGTGACCTGTCTTCAGTTTACACACAGGTGTTCAGAGACGCCGAGATAGCTAATTAGCACAGGTAGAGACCTTAACAAGCGCTGTAACATGGAAATATGGCCATGTGGGTACCCTAACCTTTTAAAGGTGTGAATCATTTTAACCTTCTTTTTTTTAAACAGTATTTCTCGCCGATATGAAAGATAAGGTCCTTACGTTTCCAAAATCGTACTGCAAACGATGCGTGTTGATGTTCAGACCGAGTGTCGCGGCTCTTAACAAAACACCCACCTACAGAAGACGCCTTCGTCCAGTGACTTGTGTAATGTAATAGCACTGATAGTCATGATTAAGAGCTAGGTAGCTAGCTACTAGATAGTTAGCTAACTGTAGATTCGATTTTCAGATAACTTCAGACAATTGACAATACAAACAGGCACCGTTTGATAGCTATTACCAACCCATTTCTTATAGCTTCTGACTTTGACTGGTTAGCCAGCTGGCTGTATGTAGCTCGCTAAGTTAGCTAGTTAACTAAGCCAACAGCTGACAAACGGGGCGTCAAGGAAAGGTACAAATGTGCCCAAGTAAAATGCAAGACAAGAGCATTGAGCATACCGCCACACTATATCAAATTAAACCATGTTGCTAAAATCTGGTACCTTTTCTTTAGTCCCTGGTCGATTCCTCCTCATAACAGCTGCACCCTCCGCCATGACCATCTCGACTGGAATCCGGATGTTGCCAAAGCTGGAGGAAGTGTTGGCTCGCGGTGCAAGTAGCCTATCTTCGTACAGTAAAAAGGCAAGTGCGGATTTGATTGAACTTCAGGGGTGTATTCATTAATTGGATTCCGTTGCAAAACGTTTTGGAAAAGAAAACGTTTAAATCAAATATCAAATAAAATTGTATTTGTCACATGCGCCGAATACAACTGGTGTAGACTTTACCATGGAATGCTTGCTTAAGAGCCCTTTCCCAACGATACCGAGTTAAAAAATAAAATAGTACAAGAGGAATGAAATAAAATACACAAGAATGAAGCTACAGTATATACAGGGAGTACCAGTACCAGATCAATATGCAGAGGGACGAGGTATGTACATGAAGGCAGGGTAAAGTGACTAGGCATCAGGATAGATAATAATGAGACTAAAATAAAGAACAGAGCTGCAGCAGCATATGATGTGTGTATGTTTGTTGTGTCGTTCTGCGACTGTGTGTTAGCCTGTGTGTGTGTGTGCGCGCGGGCTTATGTAGTGTATGTGAATGTGTGTGGGATTGTCAATGTATAGTGTGTGTGTGTGTGTATATGGTTTACCGTTTACTCTAGGAAACAAACAGAGCGAACGAAACGGGGAGGGACCTACCTGAATTTCTCCAAACGAAACTCTCGTTTTCGTTGCAAAACGTTTTCCGTTTGGAGTGAACGATTTCCATTGCTAAACGTTTTGCCACAGACCAAACGTTTTGCAACGGAATCCGACTAATTAATAAATCCGACGAATGAATACACCCAGTTCTCCCACCCCTGTGGATCGAGTCCTTTTAAATTCACAGACCACAGTGCTGACCACCAGTCCTGTGACAGTATCTGATGCAGTAGAGGCTATATTATTAGCATTATATGTTCCCCATACTGTCTACCCATTATATGTTGTTCCATAACAGATACTCCTATTCCCCATAATATATTGTCCCCCCATCAGACCCAATAATACCCTAACCCTTATAAGCCTTTTTGTGGCTGCAGTAGCCTACTGTAGGATACAGGATACCCTGTTTGTGAATATTAACTGATGCTCCATTAGCTTACTTTCAATGATAATGTTCCATGTTACATAGTCCTGTTTGAATATAGTAGTGTTGTGATGGTCCTATACCGTAGTGTTGTGATGGTCCTGTACCGTAGTGTTGTGATGGTCCTATACCGTAGTGTTGTGATGGTCCTATACCATAGTGTTGTGATGGTCCTATACCGTAGTGTTGTGATGGTCCTATACCGTAGTGTTGTGATGGTCTAGTACCGTAGTGTTGTGATGGTCCTGTACCGTAGTGTTGTGATGGTCCTATACCGTAGTGTTGTGATGGTCCTATACCATAGTGTTGTGATGGTCCTATACCGTAGTGTTGTGATGGTCCTATACCGTAGTGTTGTGATGGTCCTATACCATAGTGTTGTGATGGTCCTATACCGTAGTGTTGTGATGGTCCTATACCGTAGTGTTGTGATGGTCCTATACCATAGTGTTGTGATGGTCCTATACCGTAGTGTTGTGATGGTCCTATACCGTAGTGTTGTGATGGTCCTATACCGTAGTGTTGTGATGGTCCTATACCGTAGTGTTGTGATGGTCCTATACCGTAGTGTTGTGATGGTCCTGTACCGTAGTGTTGTGATGGTCCTATACCGTAGTGTTGTGATGGTCCTATACCGTAGTGTTGTGATGGTCCTATACCGTAGTGTTGTGATGGTCCTATACCATAGTGTTGTGATGGTCCTATACCGTAGTGTTGTGATGGTCCTATACCGTAGTGTTGTGATGGTCCTGTACCATAGTGTTGTGATGGTCCTGTACCGTAGTGTTGTGATGGTCCTATACCGTAGTGTTGTGATGGTCCTATACCATAGTGTTGTGATGGTCCTATACCGTAGTGTTGTGATGGTCCTATACCGTAGTGTTGTGATGGTCCTATACCGTAGTGTTGTGATGGTCCTATACCGTAGTGTTGTGATGGTCCTATACTGTAGTGTTGTGATGGTCCTATACCGTAGCGTTGTGATGGTCCTATACCGTAGTGTTGTGATGGTCCTATACCGTAGTGTTGTGATGGTCCTATACCGTAGCGTTGTGATGGTCCTATACCGTAGCGTTGTGATGGTCCTATACCGTAGCGTTGTGATGGTCCTATACCGTAGTGTTGTGATGGTCCTATACCATAGCGTTGTGATGGTCCTATACCGTAGTGTTGTGATGGTCCTATACCGTAGTGTTGTGATGGTCCTATACCGTAGTGTTGTGATGGTCCTATACCGTAGTGTTGTGATGGTCCTGTACCGTAGTGTTGTGATGGTCCTGTACCGTAGTGTTGTGATGGTCCTATACCATAGTGTTGTGATGGTCCTATACCGTAGTGTTGTGATGGTCCTATACCATAGTGTTGTGATGGTCCTATACCATAGTGTTGTGATGGTCCTATACCGTAGTGTTGTGATGGTCCTATACCGTAGCGTTGTGATGGTCTAGTATCGTAGTGTTGTGATGGTCCTATACCATAGTGTTGTGATGGTCCTGTACCATAGTGTTGTGATGGTCCTATACCATAGTGTTGTGATGGTCCTATACCGTTGTGATGGTCCTATACCGTAGTGTTGTGATGGTCCTATACCGTTGTGATGGTCCTATACCGTAGTGTTGTGATGGTCCTATACCATAGTGTTGTGATGGTCCTATACCGTAGTGTTGTGATGGTCCTATACCGTAGTGTTGTGATGGTCCTATACCGTAGTGTTGTGATGGTCCTGTACCATAGTGTTGTGATGGTCCTATACCGTAGTGTTGTGATGGTCCTATACCGTAGTGTTGTGATGGTCCTATACCGTAGTGTTGTGATGGTCCTATACCGTAGTGTTGTGATGGTCCTATACCGTTGTGATGGTCCTATACCATAGTGTTGTGATGGTCCTATACCGTAGTGTTGTGATGGTCCTATACCGTAGTGTTGTGATGGTCCTGTACCATAGTGTTGTGATGGTCCTATACCATAGTGTTGTGATGGTCCTATACCGTTGTGATGGTCCTATACCGTAGTGTTGTGATGGTCCTATACCGTTGTGATGGTCCTATACCGTAGTGTTGTGATGGTCCTATACCATAGTGTTGTGATGGTCCTATACCGTAGTGTTGTGATGGTCCTATACCATAGTGTTGTGATGGTCCTATACCGTAGTGTTGTGATGGTCCTATACCGTAGTGTTGTGATGGTCCTGTACCATAGTGTTGTGATGGTCCTGTACCGTAGTGTTGTGATGGTCCTATACCGTAGTGTTGTGATGGTCCTATACCGTAGTGTTGTGATGGTCCTATACCGTAGCGTTGTGATGGTCCTATACCGTAGTGTTGTGATGGTCCTATACCGTAGTCCTATACCGTAGTGTTGTGATGGTCCTATACCATAGTGTTGTGATGGTCCTATACCATAGTGTTGTGATGGTCCTATACCATAGTGTTGTGATGGTCCTATACCATAGTGTTGTGATGGTCCTATACCATAGTGTTGTGATGGTCCTATACCGTAGTGTTGTGATGGTCCTATACCGTAGCGTTGTGATGGTCCTATACCATAGTGTTGTGATGGTCCTATACCGTAGTGTTGTGATGGTCCAATACCGTAGCGTTGTGATGGTCCTATACCGTAGCGTTGTGATGGTCCTATACCGTAGTGTTGTGATGGTCCTATACCGTAGTGTTGTGATGGTCCTATACCGTAGCGTTGTGATGGTCCTATACCGTAGCGTTGTGATGGTCCTATACCGTAGTGTTGTGATGGTCCTATACCGTAGTGTTGTGATGGTCCTATACCATAGTGTTGTGATGGTCCTATACCGTAGTGTTGTGATGGTCCTATACCGTAGCGTTGTGATGGTCCTATACCGTAGCGTTGTGATGGTCCTATACCGTAGTGTTGTGATGGTCCTATACCGTAGTGTTGTGATGGTCCTATACCGTAGTGTTGTGATGGTCCTATACCGTAGTGTTGTGATGGTCCTATACCGTAGTGTTGTGATGGTCCTATACCGTAGCGTTGTGATGGTCCTATACCATAGTGTTGTGATGGTCCTATACCGTAGTGTTGTGATGGTCCTATACCATAGTGTTGTGATGGTCCTATACCGTAGTGTTGTGATGGTCCTATACCATAGTGTTGTGATGGTCCTATACCGTAGTGTTGTGATGATGCATTCCAAACGGTAAACATATGTCCCTTTATTGTGGATTACTGGATAATAACATGTATTTTGGTAGACGTACAGTATCAAAAGGGCAGTGGCCAATGGCACGTGGGTGAATAATGTGCAGGGCTAGGACATTTGCATTGATGAATCAGGGGTTTTATCTGTATGGACAGGATCAAGAACTTGGCAGCATCGCAATGGCACCAAATCCCTGTTCATTAAAAGAACAAAACCTCTGATCCGGCAACCTTTGATTGAGGTTTATAAAAGAGGCGCGTGTCCCTCTGTCCTGGATATTACATTGAGGAAGAGTGCTCTAACAACTGTGCAGACATGAGTAAGGTAAGGCAGACCAGTTTTTCTCTAACTATTTGGCTTTATACAGCGCTCTGGGTCGTGGTCTCTGGTTGTTTTATGGATTTTAATGCTGATTTGGAAAGAAACTGGTTGATTGTTCAACACAGTAATTCCATAGTGCTGCCAAGAAAAATAATCCAGAGGTAAGTTTCATAATGTTTGGTAATGACAATGATCATTGATCACTGTTTTACTGGTAGACAAGCTGTAGAATGCTAACAGTGTATTAGCCTTTATCAGGAGACCTACAAACAGGAGACAAACTTACTTGTACATAATTGTTGGTCCAGAGAAGGCCGTATATTTTGCCATTTATAGAAATCATAGAAAATGTGTTTATATCAAATATTAGGAAGTGTATTTTTATTTGAAATGCAGTAAAATGACAGAAAAAAGGGAATGCTTAACTGATGTTAACATTTCCCTCCTAACTTCGGCCCTGGCTGTGTAGATCACTTTCTACGAGGATAAAAACTTCCAGGGTCGCTCCTATGAGTGCGACACGGACTGCCCCGATGTGCACCCCCATTTCAGCCGCTGCAACTCTGTCAAGGTAGATAGCGGCTGCTGGGTGCTGTACGAGAGGCCCAACTATGCAGGCTACCAGTATGTACTGACCAGGGGAGAGTACCCAGAGTATCAGCGCTGGATGGGCTACAACGACACTGTTCGCTCCTGCCGTACCTTCTCTTATGTGAGTAGCCGGGAGGTGAGAAAAGGGGGCTCTCTTTTGAGATGGGTTTTAATGTCTTATTTGTTCATGCCTCAATCTGTATTGTAGTAATGCATTGTGGGGATTTATCAGTGTGTACTTGTTCACTCAACTGGTGGTTTTATGGCTGGTTGCCTTAACACAGATGAAGCCTAGTCCTGGACTAACAACCACTTTCAGTGGAGATTTTCCATTGATTTTTGTCTACGACTAGGCTTCATCTGTGTCCGGGAATCCCGCCCATAGTTTTACAAGCACAACACATGAGTATGTGAATGGTTGGGAGATAACCAGACCACGTAAAGGTCTGAAGGTGCATGTCAAATAAAGCAAAATGACTCTACGACTCACCTAGAGGAGGAGAGTGGATGGATGGATGGATGCCCATAAAATGTTAATCCCATGGTCCCTTTGTATTAGGAGGTTTCATATGACATAATGATCTACCATGTACAGTATGTCATTTTAATATAACATAATGCAATTTCATGTTGGCTAGCCACAGACTAAAGCCTCCCACTAACCAGAACCATACCTAATCAGAAGAATATCTGATCCAGATCATTCTGGATTCATCTTGGGTTCCCTCAAGAGACATTTCTGAGACATTCTGGAAATGTTCTAAACTACCTTTTGTGACTTTAACGACCCTGGCCTATGTTAACACACTGCGACCTCCCCAATTGCGATATCCCACTTCTGACACCAAATGTGGTGTTTGGCTACTTTAGCATTTTTACTTACATGTGTTAACCTAAGGCCCACTGAAAAATGTCAGATGTACTGGTTACCTGTGATTCCCCATGCCCCCCAAGTGACCTGTGTTTTGACAGTGTTAACTCTCCTGTACCTCTCTGTCCGAGCAGGCCAGCGGCAGTCCCTACCGCATGATAATCTACGAGAGGCCAGACTTCCAGGGACAGATGATGGAGTTCGGTGAGGACTGTGACTCTGTCCAGGACCGCTTCCGCAGCCGTGACATCTACTCCGCCAACGTCATGGATGGCTACTGGACCCTCTACGAGCACCCCAACTACAGGGGGCGCCAGTACTTTATGAGGCCCGGCGAGTACAGGAAGTTCAGTGACTGGGGCGCCACCTGCGCCACCACTGGCTCCTTCCGTAGGATCACCGACTTTTAGGCCCAACATCTTCTCCACTCTGACCAGTCAATAAAACTATTGTTTAAATTAAACTTGCTGTTGATATTTCCATTTCACTGTTTCTGATTAACTGATTGATTTAATTGGTGACCTTTATGATATTTGGGGTCTATGTTTGTGCCTTTAACTTAAATGGAGGACAAATCTCAATACATTGAGCAAGAGGCAAATGTTATACAGTATCCTGCAAGTAGGCATAAATATAATGTAATATACTGCAAATAGGCCTACATAAGAGGATGTAAATATATATTTGAAATACACCTTAAGAATGTACCTGAATGGGCTGTTTAATGGTGTTTCTCTGTGTTGCACATTTAACATTAAAGTGGTGAATCATATGACATTAAGCAGACCATGTTCAGGATCAAGTTTCTAGCTCACTCACTCTTCATGCTTCTTTGACACAGAGTCACTGGGTCAAAAAGGGTCACACAGTTGAAACTTGCCTCCTCGTTGGCAAAGTTCCCAACCAGAAGAAGGTCCCAAAACAAAGCCCATACTAGAAAGGAAGGTCCCAAAACAAAGCCCATACTAGAAAGGAAGGTCCCAGAACAAAGCCCATACTAGAAAGGAAGGTCCCAGAACAAAGCCCATACTAGAAAGCAAGGTCCCAGAACAAAGCCCATACTAGAAAGCAAGGTCCCAGAACAAAGCCCATACTAGAAAGGAAGGTCCCAGAACAAAGCTCATACTAGAAAGGAAGGTCCCAGAACAAAGCCCATACTAGAAAGGAAGGTACCAAAACAAAGTCCATACTAGAAAGGAAGGTCCTAGAACAAAGCCAATACTAGAAAGGAAGGTCCCAGAACAAAGCCCATACTAGAAAGGAAGGTCCCAGAACAAAGCCCATACTAGAAAGGAAGGTACCAAAACAAAGCCCATATTAGATAGGAAGGTCCTAGAACAAAGCCAATACTAGAAAGGAAGGTCCCAGAACAAAGCCCATACTAGAAAGGAAGGTCCCAGAACAAAGCCCATACTAGAAAGGAAGGTCCCAGAACAAAGCCAATACTAGAAAGGAAGGTCCCAGAACAAAGCCCATACTAGAAAGGAAGGTCCCAGAACAAAGCCAATACTAGAAAGGAGGTCCCAGAACAAAGCCCATACTAGAAAGGAAGGTCCCAGAACAAAGCCCATACTAGAAAGGAAGGTCCCAAAACAAAGCCCATACTAGAAAGGAAAATCCCAGTACAAAGCCCATACTAGAAAGGAAGATCCCAGTACAAAGCCCATACTAGAAAGGAAGGTCCCAGAACAAAGCCCATATTAGAAAGGAAGGTCCCAGAACAAAGCCCATATTAGAAAGGAAGGTCCCAGAACAAAGCCCATACTAGAAAGGAGTAAAATAAGAAAACAGAGATCCTGAAGCTCTTTTCATACCTGCTGGTGGAAGCTTCCACCTTATGCCATATAACATAAATCCTATTGGTTACTAGGCCCTGTCAGTCAAAGTATATAGAAGCAAATATTAATGTCAGTAATATAAATAATAATATATTACAATTACTTCAAGGTGTATAGATGGGCCTACATTGTCATCATGGCTTTTTATCAATACAATTACACTTTTATTAGTAATGTTTAAGGACCACCTAAAAGTGCTATCAAACTTAGCTTAAAGTGCTGTCAGTATTTAAAATATTGTAATTGTGGTATGAATCATATTGTTACTTACAAGATTGTTCTATAATAAATCTAACATTTTCTATGTCTGGTTAGATCTGTTATGTTCTAGTTATGTATACTGAACACAACTATAAACGCAACATGCAATAATTTTACTGAGTTACAGTTCATATAAGGAAATCTATTCCATTGAAATAAATTAAATATGCCCTAATCTATGTATTTCACATGACTGGGCAGGGGTGCAGCCATGGGTGGGCATTGGAGGGCATAGACTCACCCACTAGGGAGCCTAGGCCCAGCCAATCAGAATGAGTTTTTCCCCACAAAGGCCATTATTACAGACAGAAATAGATGATGATCTCGCAGGTGAAGAAGCCGGATGTGGAGGTCCTGGGCTGGCGTGGTTACACGTTGTGAGGCCAGTTGGACATACTGCCAAATTCTCTAAAATGAAGTTGGAGGCAGCTTATGGTAGAGAAATTAACATTAAATCCTCTGGCAACAGCTCTGGTTGACATTCCTGCAGTCAGCATGCCAATTGCATGCTCCCTCAAAACTTGACGCATCTGTGGCATTGCGTTGTGTGACAAAACTGCACATTTTAAAGTGGCCTTTTATTGTCCCCAGCACAAGGTGCATCTGTGTAATGATCATGCTGTTTAATCAGCTTCTTGATATGCCACACCTGTCAGGTGGATGGATTATCTTGGCAAAGGAGAAATGCTCACTAACAGATGTAAACAAATTTGTGCACAAAATTTGAGCTAAATAAGCTTTTTGTGCATATAATTTTAGTCATTTAGCAGACGCTCTTATCCAGAGCGACTTACAGTTAGTGAGTGCATACATTTTCATACTGGCCCCCTGTGGGAAACGAACCCACAACCCTGGCATTGCAAGCGCCATGCTCTACCAACTGAGCTACACGGAACACTACTGGGATTTTTCAGTTCAGCTCATGAAACACTTTACATGTTGCGTTTATATTTTTGTTCAGTGTACAGTATATGCATTTCTGAGTAGAAAAATATTGTATAAGCAAAACCTGTAACAATATCTGTTTGCAGAGTACAAAAATTGATCACATCAAATATCAATAATCTGAATTCAACCAGACAGTGTACAAAAGGCCTACTACTAAAGTAACATAAAAAGTATA